CTTTCGAGGGCCGCTCGTGGGTCCAGCGGAGTGAGGCACCGCGCAGACCTGATGTAGACATCGCCGTATCTGCGATACCGTCGCCACTTTCGAGGGCTGCTGGTGGGTCCAGCGGAGTGATGCACCGCGCGGACTTGAGGTAGACCTCGCCGTCCCTGGGGGGCTGCGATCGGCGAACTTGTCGCCACTTTCGAGGGCTGGTGGTGGGACCAGCGGAGTGAGGCACCGCGCGGACCTGAGGTAGACCTCGCCGTCCCCGGGGGGCTGCGATCTGCGAACTTGTCGCCACTTTCGAGGGCTGGTGGTGGGTCCAGCAATCTGAGGCACCGCTTGGATTTGAGGTAGACCTCGCCGTCCCTGGGGGGCTGCGATCTGCGAACTTGTCGCCACTTTCGAGGGCTGCTGGTGGGCCCAGCGGAGTGAGGCACCGCGCGTACTTGAGGTAGACCTCGCCGTCCTTCGGGGGCTGCGATCTGCGACACCGTCGCCACTCGATGGCTGCTCGTGGGTCCAGCGGGGTGAGGCACCGCGCGGACCTGAGGTAGACCTCGCCGTCCCTAGGGGGCTGCTATCTGCGAACTTGTTGCCACTTTCGAGGGCTGCTGGTGGGTACAGCGGGGTGAGGCACCGCGCGGACCTGAGCGAGACCTCGCCGTCCCTGGGGGGCTGCGATCTGCGAACTTGCCGCCACTTTCGAGGGCTGCTGATGGGTCCAGCCGAGTGATGCACCGCGCGGACCTGAGGTAGACCTCGCCGTCCCTGGGGGGCTGCGATCTGCGATACCGTCGCCACTTTCGAGGGCTAATGGTGGGTCCAGCGGGGTGAGGCACCGCGCGGACCTGAGGTAGACCTCGCCGTCCCTGGGTGGTTGCGATCTGCGAGACTGTCGCCGCGTTCGAGGGCTGATGGTGGGTCCAGCGGAGTGAGGCACCGCGCCGACCTGAGCGAGGCCTTGCCGTCCATGGGGGGCTGCGATCTGCGAACTTGTCGCCACTTTCGAAGGCTGTTGGTGGGTCCAGCGGAGTGAGGCACCGCGCGGACCTGAGGTAGACCTCGCCGTCCCTGGGGGGCTGCGATCTGCGAACTTGTCGCCACTTTCGAGGGCTGATGGTGGGTCCAGCAATCTGAGGCACCGCTTGGATTTGAGGTAGACCTCGTCGTCCCTGGGGGGCTGCGATCTGCGAACTTGTCGCAAAGTTCGAGGGCTGCTAGTGGGTCCAGCGGAGTGGGTCCAGCGGAGTGAGGCACCGCGGGGACCTGAGGTAGACCTCGCCGTCCCTGGGGGGGGCTGCGATCTGCGAAAGTGTCGCAACGTTCGAGGGCTGCTGATGGGGCCAGAGGGGTGAGGCACCGCGCGTACCTGAGGTAGACCTCGCCGTCCCTGGGGGGCTGCGATCTGCGAACTTGTCGCCACTCTCGAGGGCTGCTGGTGGGTCCAGCGGAGTGAGGCACCGCGCAGACCTGAAGTAAGTAGACCTCGCCGTCCCTGGGGGGCTGCGATCTGCGACACCGTCGCCACTCTCGAGGGCCGCTCGTGGGTCCAGCGGGGTGAGGCACCGCGCGGACCTGATGTAGACCTCGCCGTCCCTGGGGGGCTGCGATCTGCGAACTGGTCGCCACTTTCGAGGGCTGCTTGTGGGTCCAGCGGAGTGAGGCACCGCGCGGACCTGAGGTATACCTCGCCGTCTGTAGGTGGGCTGCGATCTGCGAAACTGACGCCACTTTCGAGGGCTGCTGGTGGGTCCAGCGGGGTGAGGCACCGCGCGGACCTGAGGTAGACCTCGCCGTCCCTGGGGGGCTGCGGTCGGCGAACTTGTCGCCACTTTTGAGGGCTGCTGGTGGGTCCAGCCGAGTGGGGCACCGCACAGACCTGAGCGAGACCTCGCCGTCCCTGCGGGGCTGCGATCTGCGAAACTGACGCAACTTTCGAGGGCTGCTGGTGGGTCCAGCCGAGTGATGCACCGCGCGCGGACCTGAGGTAGACCTCGCCATCCCTTGGGGGGCTGCGATCTGCGAACCTGTCGCAAAGAGTGAGGGCTACTGGTGGGTCCAGCGGAGTGAGGCACCGCGCGGACCTGAGCGAGACCTCGCCGTCCCTGGGTGGCTGCGATCTGCGTAACTCTCGCAGAGATCGAGGGCTGCTGGTGGGTCCAGTGGAGTGAGGCACCGCGCGGACCTGAGGTAGACCTCGCCGTCCCTGGGGGGCTGCGATCTGCGATACCGACGCCACTTTCGAGGGCTGCTAGTGGATCCAGCAAAGTGAGTCCCCGCGCGGACCGGAGGTAGACCTCGCCGTCCCTGGGGGGCTGCGATCTGCGAACTTGTCGCCACTTTCGAGGGTTGCTGGTGGGTCCAGCGGAGTGAGGCACCGCGGGGACTTGAGGTAGACCTCGCCGTCCCTGGGGGGGCTGCGACCTGCGAACTTGTCGCCACTTTCGAGGGCTGCCGGTGGGTCCAGCGGAGTGAGGCACCGCGCGGATCTGAGGTAGACCTCGCCGTCCCTGGGACTCTGCGATCTGCGAAAGTGTCGCAAAGTTCGAGGGCTGCTGGTGGGTCCAGCGGGGTGAGGCACCGCGCGGACCTGAGGTAGACCTCGCCGTCTACAGGTGGGCTGCGATCTGCGATCTTGTCGCCACTTTCGAGGGCCGCTCGTGGGTCCAGCGGAGTGAGGCACCGCGCGGACTGGAGGTAGACCTCGCCGTCCCTGGGGGGCTGCGATCTGCGAACTTGTCGCCACTTTCGAGGGCTGCTGGTGGGTCCAGCGGAGTGAGGCACCGCGCAGACCTGAGCGAGACTTCGCCGTCCCTGGGGGGCTGCGATCTGCGAAACTGACGCCACTGTCGAGGGCTGCTGGTGCGTCCAGCGGAGTGAGGCACCGCGCGGACTTGAGGTAGACCTCGCCGTCCCTGGGAGGCTGCGATCTGCGAACATGTCGCCATTTTCGAGGGCTGCCGGTGGGTCCAGCGGAGTGTGGCACCGCGCGGACCTGAGGTAGACCTCGCCGTCCCTGGGGGGGCTGCGATCTACGAACATGTCGCCACGTTCGAGGGCCGCTCGTGGGTCCAGCGGAGTGAGGCACCGCGCGGACCTGAGGTATACCTCGCGGTCCCTGGGGGGCTGCGATCTGCGAACTTGTCGCCACTTTCGAGGGCTGCTGGTGGGTCCAGCGGAGTGAGGCACCGCGCAGACCTGAGCGAGACTTCGCCGTCCCTGGGGGGCTGCGATCTGCGAAACTGACGCCACTGTCGAGGGCTGCTGGTGCGTCCAGCGGAGTGAGGCACCGCGCGGA